GGCAGTCGCGGATCCAGAGTCTATGGTTGAGGATGGTGAGGCCACCTTAATAAATTCGATGAGCGTAGCGATCAGAATTTGTTAGCGTTATCTATTCAAAAAATATTGAACTCAATAGACGTATTTACACTTGTATGCAAATTTGTCCGCCATTACGCAAAATCACACAGGTTCCCGTAAACTTTGACATCATAATTCAAAACATTTGACGTCACAATTAAAAAGTGATTGTTGCCTGACGTCAAAAGGTGATTCGGAGTCGATCTAAGGTCATTCGGAGGCAAAATATAGCTAAATACCAAAAGTGTAAATACGTTTATACCTGACATACACGGCTTTCAAGAAATCATTTAGATCTCCATCATATGATCTTGGTGTCAATTTTCGACTTCCATTGTTCATTAATTTGTTACTTTACAAGCCATGATATGTTTTTCAAACCTTTCAAACCATAGTTGGACATCTGTTAAAACTACCCACAAAAAAACAGACTAATATATATATGATCATATATCTGTTCAGGAAAAAAGTTTGAAAAATAATAAGAGCCGTATGATCATATTTCAATAGATCATATGGCCATTTAATAAAGTTTCCAATCTCTTGTCTGATTACATGTCTCAAGTTTTAAAAAATGCATGTTAGGGCATATAAGTGTGCGACTTTAACCCCGAAACACTTAGCTGGCTTTTGCACCGGCAATAAGAAGATGATATATATGTTTTTAAGTTCATATGAATTAAACTGAGGAGACGCAGGGGTAACGCCAATGAGAACATAAGTGAATCATGATAGAAAGTGTTTATGTCTCCACATTTCTAGTCGAAATCTTAAGAATCGTGAGACAGATAAACAAAAAGTGATCAGAGCTTATAAACCCAACCCCCCGCCCCCCAAATTAGTATTAATGATTTGTATTTAAGATCAATAAGGATGAACCACTTTTCTTTATCGATTATATTTTTTCAAGATAGTAAGCAAACACGCCAAAAATGGTATACAAATCGTCATTTTGGGGTAATATGATAACTCCTATAAGGAGTCGACCGACGATTTTGGTCATGTTGACAAATTTGTCGATCATGTCATGCTGATCATTTTTGCTATAAAAAGTTTCTCTTTTTTTATTATATTTTTTTTTCAAGATAGTGAGCAAAACACAAAACAAAAAAGTAAAAATCTTCACTTAGAGGCAATTCCTCCTATAATGATTTGACCGACGATTTATGTCAGGTAGATTTATTTGTAGATTTTGTCTCCCTGACCATTTTTTCCCATGAAAAGTTTATTTCACCTTTTATAGTTCATGTTTATAGAGAAAAACAGGTGTACCATCTGTCATGCGCCTTATGTTACCTTATAGAGATTCCGAAAGACCTTCATCGACACAAGACTTCTAAAATGACAATCAATTAAGCCAATACGAATGACAGGTGCATCAAACTTGGATACAGAAACGGGAGATAGTCCTGGAGTCTTTCACAGTGGCGGATTCAATCCTTTTTATATGACTTGCATGTGTTGTCACCCCCCTTTTTTAAGTGGCTGGATCTGCGCCTGTTTCACCTGCCAGTAATTGTCAATTGCAGTATCATCTAATCTGTAAGCTGATGTAGATCGTACATGTAAATATGTTTTACATATGTACATGCATAGTATATCAGCCAGATAGAAAGTAATAAAAACTGTCATGTTTGATGTGACTGATGCATATTCATTGTAATAATTGAATGGCACTAGGTCTAGGTCTTCAAAAAAAGACAGTATCTATATATACAATATGTCAAGTTATATGTTACCCGATCGGCATTGCACTTTCTTATGTCATTAATTGGAACCTTTTAACCGGTGTATGACGATTTTGTTTGGTATATATACACTTCAATAAAGTTTCATTAACAATTTCATAGATATATAACTGCCTTCCACAAAAAGTAAATTAGCTAGTTTAGTCGACGAAAGTGACTCGAACACAGTAATTGGATGAAAATCGTATGGAAAACATGTAACGTGTAAGCGCATCTTAATGCAATATGTGTACCGAAACAATTGTATCGTTCACATGAGCGACCGCAAGTGAAACGCATAATGACATGCAAATTGAACGACACGGTGAAATTCGGCTGTCAGAGAACTAAACATTAATTTACAACAACAAGACAAGAATTCAATTTTCCCATTGTGAACTTTCTATATGGCACCAACGTACCTGCATATGGAGGAAAGAGTTACTTTCAAAAATATTTCATAAGCTTTTCCTATGATTGCTACTTACAAGGAAGCTACTGAAACAAGGGTATGAATAATTAAATAAAAGCAATCTGTTTGAATGTTTTATATACGTTATCTCGGTTTGATAAATAGTTATGAAATATCTGTGTCTCAAATTAGCCTATGTAGAAGACACACTCCCATTCACTTTTAGTGTTTATAAAATCATAAAATGCGACTTCAGATTAGATTTTTGTTTTCAACCAAGTTATTGCTTCTAGTGAAGAAGGAATTGCTTACACTTTCGATGTATCAAAGTTCACCTCTGTTTTGGCGAGCTTCGTGTTGCTCAATCTTTAATTGTTTGTGTAGTAAAACATCAAACAAGACAGTAAATGGAATTGCTAACACCAGAAACAACAGTTGTGAAATCAGAAGGAGAGGGTGGACATGGATAGGGCACATTTTAAAGCGTGAAAGAGATAACAACAGTAATGTACGTAGCACTACAATGGGCTCCAGAAGGGTAAAGAGCTAGAGACAGGCCAAAAACTACATGGAGAAGAATTACAGAGAAAGAAAGAAACCAACAAGGATGGACAAGTTAGAGCGTGGCCAGAACAATGGCACGAGATAGAAAAGGGTGTGATATCAGCGTGGAGGCCTTATGCGACTTCTGGCGCAGAGAGTATTGAGGTAAGGTAATATTTATGGATTTTTTATTATTTTTTTTTTAGCCCTAGAGTGTTCTGATACTCTTCTTAGTGGATTTTTGATTGTCAACTTGGTGTCTTGGTACATATTTCTGCATACCAGATAAAATTATCCAGGTCACACAACATCTATATCCTGTCTGACACTAAACTTTCGAAAAACTTAACTATATTTGAAATTATTTCCGCTTTTAATTGATTTGTAAGTGCATACAAGAATAAAAACAATGGGGAAAAATACGTTGTTATTATGTTATTAAATTAATGAATAATATGGTATTATCTATTAACTATAATATGTTGACAAAAAAATCCCAATTCACTTTTAGTAATATATTACCAAATATTATTAATGTTTTTCACAATAAATTTAAATTATGCATCCAAATAAAAAGTCTTACGATGTATTTGTTAAAAAAATTTCCGATACTGAGTCTTTCACATTATTTCTAAGTATCTTATAAAATATTAGCTCTTGAAAGTACTACAGAGCGTTAGGAACAGCTGTAATTGGTTCGAATATTAACTATATGGCTATAAGGTTACTACTTCTATTTGCTAAATAATATGGTTTTCATATCCCCTATTTGAAGAGGGGATATATAGTGATGGACATGTTTGTCCGTCCGTTTGTTCGTCAGTCACAAGTTTGGTTTCTGAATGATTATTTGAGTATCAAGAGTATGGTTGACCAAATCTTTTAAATTTTAAAACTATGTCGCGGACTATAAAATACAGGTCAAGTCGAAAATTTTGTGATTTTGACTTTTGCCATCCAAAAGTTATTCCTCTTAGTTATCTTATTAGTGCATGGTGTTGCGTCAGTTTCCAGAAGATAATCAAAGTATACTAGCAATCGACCAAATCTTTTCGAAATTTGAACACAATATGATGAATCATAAAATAGAGGCAAAGTTCGACTTTGATTGTTTTGACATTTACTAATCCAACGTTCCCCGTAGGTACCTTAAATTTAGATATTTTTTAAGGTCCCATGTGATAATGAAATTTTTTAAGATTATAACAAAAAGTTATGGATCATATACATGTAATACAAACCACGTTAATCTGTATTTTGGTTTCGGAATTTACCAGTAAAGAAGTTTCTGCAAACAGGGGTATCTGTGATCTCTATATGACCCCATTCTTCTCTGTAGGGAGGAGAACGTGTAATTTTCGCCATGCATAAGTAAAAAACTATCAAGAACAAACAGAAGGACCGTGGAACGACCATGGAGTCTTAATTATGTAGTAGAAACTCGCGTCTAGGTAATTATAAGCCTGGTATCTTTGATGAGTTTGTACTCTAGAAAACATTCTGACCGTTTAACCCTAGAACAGATTTGGGCAGTTCTGCCTTAGAACAGTTTTGGTCTGTTCTACCCTAAAACGGATTTCTACAGTTCTACACTAGAACTGAATCTGACAGGTCAACAGTTCTACCATAGAGCTGATTCTAACAGCTCTATGCTCTACCCTAGAATATTTCTAAGGAATAAATGTTAAGAACTGTTTAGAATAGTTCTGTGACATATTATTTTGACAGTTATAGTGAGAGATTGGAACTGATCCCAATTATAACTGGAGTTTATCGTTCACGCTTTGCATGCTCTCAATTTTTTGATGATTCCCTAGCATTCCGTCTCAATCGAACGCATAGGGGTCATTACAGAAATACGCATCTTGCGCAATGAAATATGTTTCATATGCATGCATGTTCATGTTGGAGATTTCTTAACAAGTTTAAACTGACGTTCTCGTGTATGATAGAGTTTCAACCTCCTCTTATTTCACTTTTCTTATTTCCAACGTTCATCAATGCCTTTGAAATTAGTTCACGGTTCAAGCTTCGCGATATTTTTTAATTTCAGGTTGAAATCATCAGCCATGTTAAGGTCTCAACTATAATCCTGTCCAAACAATGGACTTTCACTTTTAATTATTTACAAGAAATTATTTTTTCAGAAAAAAAAAAGTTTAGTGCTTGGTGTCATTTAGTTATGTTTCCTATTAATCATTCAATACCAAAAATATTAACATATATATGAGGAAATACATGAGGAAGACTTTTGTATAACCATGCAGTCAGCTCTATTTTACTAAAATATTTATGCTTGGATAAGAAGATTGACTAGGTAATGTCCTTTTTCTTTTTTCTTTAAATTTGTAATGTCCTTTTTTGCTTTTTTCTTTAAATTTTAAGTGATTTCAGTTTTAATGACTGAGCGTCTCTCTTTATATGATATTAGGTAAATGTCAAATCGAATGATCACAACGTACATCCAGCATTTCATTTACGAGCCTCTAGAAAAGTTTAAATGGAATTAGATGTCTTCCGATATCTTAATACTCAGTCGGGATTAACAGAAGGAAACCAAATGTAATGTTCCTGGTTTCTGCCGACTTCTAATAGAAAATGTTGATAGTCTAATCGATATAAGGTGTATGAGAACAACAAATAGACAACCAAATAACTTTATAATAGAGCTGACTGTTACATATTTCAGAATTTACCATTGTGTGTGTGTGCGTGTGTTTATAGAATCGGTTTTCATTTCATGTTTACTGTTTTTGAACAAAATACAATGTCATAAAAACAGCAGCTACCAAAAATGAGCGGACAAACGTCAAATAAAAGATATTCATATATATGTATATATATATATATATAAAAACATTGATTTAATCACAATTTATTTTATTCCAGATATGCATACATTTATTTTGAAGGTTCAGTTACTACTCATACTTCATACTTTAGGTATTTATTCATTAAAGTGTTATTTATTCGTGATTTGTGAACTATTTGATGTTGTTAATGCTGTACGAAGGAATATTTTTTTCCCGCATTAGATTACATTTTGTAAAAAGATTTTACGTTGTATAATCTTTGGCATTTAACATTTAAGGTAAGTGGTTTCTAAAGCTCTCCGTTGTTGTCAATATAGTTTAACTCTATGCGACTGTCACACAAAGGAGAGGTTAAGCTATAGCTATAAAACTAGGTTTAATCCACCATTTTCTACATAAGGAAATGCCTGTACCAAGTCAGGAATATGACAGTTATTTTCCATCCGTTTGAGGTTTTGATTTTGCCATTGGATAAGGGACTTTCCATTTTGAAGTTTCCTTGGAGTTCGGAATTTTGTTATTATAACCAAGTCTGTTTCCTTTAGACTGTGATAGATGTATGGACCTCCTCAATGCGGAAATTTGCAAACAAATATCCTTAAAAACTAAACATAATATACAAAATCCAGTTGTCTACAGAAAAGAAATCATAACGAATTATACGTTGGTAAACTAACCATCAACCAAGTCAAATATTTTCTGATTCGTATTTTTTGTTGATAAACTCATAATGAAAGTATATACGGATAAAAATATATAAGAATTGCTCAGCAGAATCATTTAGATTGTCAATAAATAAAGATTCGTTCATATTTTGGTTAACTGTAAGCAAAAACATGGTTGTCTCTCTTTGCTATAAATTTGAAGGTAAAAGAATATTACTATCAAATGAACAAGTTTCATATAAATTTACGGTATCATTCAGTACCATGAAGTCATATGACCAAAAGGAGATGTGGGGCAAACGACGATTTACACAGGAACACAATTATCTTTTGAAATGTTTCACATTTTTTCATCACTAAGCCTTTCACAGCTCACTATACATTATGGGCTTTGCCGATGCCGAAAACCGAAAGGTACCATATAGATGCTTACATCCACGTCCTATGGTGTCTGATGGATAATTGTTGCATTGGCAATGATACCATATTTCTTATTATTTTTATATTAACGAGGCTCTTAACTTAGAAACAATCAAATTTATATGTTGTGGGAATTTTGAGACCCTGAGCCTCTCCCTTTTAATCTAAATCATTTCTCTTTTATACGCTACCTAACATCAATTCTATAATGATATTTAAAAAAAAATGAAAGAAGTGTATAACTACATTTAACTATGATGCACTGCCTAAGAACATTAACTGTATTAAAAAACGTGCAATTAAGTCGATGTGATATACTGATTTATCGTCAATTTGAACACTTTCCCTTTGATCTTACCGCCTAATATTTTTAAAAGATCAATGACATGACTTGATACTCGAAAATATTAGGCAATGACGTCATGTTTCAGTGCTGCAATGTCACGTGCTCAAGTCAATCCGCATCAATTTATCAATGAAATGCAAGCGACTTCATTCATACAACCGAACAACAATCCCAACGTTTTGTACGCGTAAAAGTAGTTTTACTAACTATTTCGTTTTACCTCATATTCTCAACAAAAAAAAAACCAAACAGTTAAGATAAATTGTCGATAAAAAGAATAATGGCATTTTATGTTTTGAAACTGACTTCATCAGCTCGAATATCAGCTCGGCCTAACGGGCTCGCTTGATATTCTTGCTGATAAAGTCAGTATCAAAACAAACATGCCATTATTCTATATATAACATATAATATACAATTCTTAACTTTCAGTTAAAGGGTCTTCCTTTATTCAAAATTGATCAATCTTCTGTACAGTCTATGCTTCATTTTGCGGTCATATTTTTACTTGTCTAAAAGTTTACGACCAGGTGGTATAAAAAGAGACGCTTAAGTAAACTTTAAAAGTTAAGATGACAGTAGTTTACCGATGTTTAAGCTCGTCAATTTAATTAGAAGAGTCACAACAAGGTAAACACATACATAGGGAATCGCATGAACTGCAAAAATAACGAGACCTGGTGGGTCGAAAGCACAAGCGTCTCCTGATATGCATGCATTACCTGTCATGCTAATCAACACTCTGTGAAAATGCCACAGCTCAGACAAATTTACTAGTATTCAAAGATCCAAGACCACAAAAACATGTCGCTAGTGAGCTTAGACACCGACACATCGTATCATTTACAATAAGTTTGGTTTCTAATGGTCCGCTTCCTGTATCTGAACATTATACATTATACAGCTGTCATTATACCACCACTGTATAATATGTTTAATATATCTATTAACAGGCATCAAATGTTTAAACACTTTTAAGGAGAACACTACACTTTTTGTTGACAATGGGGACACGTTTGTTTTCAATTGTACATGTTTTAGTGGAAATGAAAGTGCATGGAAAGGTCCAGACGGAAATGACACAGTGCTAACTGCCTACTCAACTGGCCGGAAAATCAATCCTTACTTAAATATACCAAATATCTTTATATATGGTAATTACACTATAGGAAAGTGTCATCTAGAGATAGCAAACTATTCGACAGTCAACGATGGTATTTACGAGTGCAGTTATTTGCTATCTGGGAACTTGCATATTCAAAGATACAACGTATTTAGTAAAAGTAAGTTGAATGTAAGAGTTTAATACTGACTTCAGTTTGTAAAACTCGTTATTCTTGAATAACTTTCTACAAGGTAGTTTCGAAAAAGTACGTTGTAACTCTATCTAACAGCAGCATTGCCCAAGGGAGTTTCAAGTTTTATAAATATGTTATGTGTAAGTTATACTGTTCATATACAACATTCCAGATTATTTTTAATATTCTTTATCTTCTAATAAGTAATGAAAATGATACAAAATATGTTCCATCAAAACGTTTCGTCATTAGTAAACACCATGAAAACATTTGTAGGTTTGTGTTTCGATGATTAAAACATCACCATAGTAAATACATGTAACTACTATCTATAGAGTATTACTTGATTTGATCAGTTTTGAAGGATATTGATTTGTAAAAAAGGAGAAAGAAGATACAAAGGGTGAATTAGAAAAAGACTTGTAGGTATATATAGTACAATTAACACGATTTTTAAATTTTTAAACAGGTTCGTTCGAAGTATTTTAAACTTTTATTTAACTGCATAACCATTTCATTATAAAGGACCACCGAAGAATTTGAAAATAATGGAAGCTTCAGAGAATAATGCAATATACGGAAAAGAGGGAGTTCGGATAGAGTTGAAATGTACTGTAAAAACTGGTATACCAGCATCAACCCTATTTTTGAGTAAAGAGGGTCTGACTGTTTCATATGGCAGAAGTGACATTTTGTTGTATCAATTTACACCAACAAGATTGGATCATATGCAAAACATCACATGTTATGCCTTAAGTGAATTGTTGACAGCTCCACTGTCTCAAACAATATACTTAGATATACAATGTAAGTCAGCACATACGACTAAGTATAACTATGGAAATAATTCAATGATATGATAGTGTATGTATTTGATATTTATACCGTATCTATCATTTCAATCAAAAGACAATTATCAAAACATGAGATGTGTATAAAATAATAACTTCCTAAAAAGGTAAATGAAACTTTACATACTGTAATGACACTTGTCTATCTTGGAAGGTCATGGACATACCTTAATATATCTTTAACTTTTAAGTGTGTTGCTTGCCGTGTATGTGGGCACGCCACATCGCATAACAGAGAGTCATTGCCTTCTACCAGAAATCATCATCAGGTGCGGTCGAGACATAACGTTAAGAAAGCCAAATACATTATGTATATGCATGGTTCCAACACACTGGCGACTAAGCAAATTGTGCTCTAAAAGACTATCAGTCCCTAGAAAGGATCCAAACTCAATGATCATAAAATAAACGTATGATATCGCTTTCAGTTAATAGCGTGCCTGCTTCAACGGCGCACATTCGTATGTCTTACATCCCTTGTCGGTAAAATCAATTTGAAAGATTAAAAAATGTCATTTGCTAAATCTATAATAAGCACAAGACATGTAGGTGTAAGTCTGGCCATCTCGGGTCAAAACAATATGTAAAGTCGGATATATATGACTTCCTGCAGACTGTTACCTTGTCATTTAGACCAGCTTGTCAGGTTTACGTTCAGTATGCATTAACATTTCTCATTCTAAAAATGATTGTAAAACTGTTAACGCTGAACTTTGTAAATCCTTCAAATTACTCAATGATTTATTTGTCCAATTATAGACCGCATGAAACGTGTATTTAAATTACCTTTTGCAGGTTTATATTGGATCAAAATATTAGAGAGGAAAACCAAAAAATAAAATAAAATGAAAATAAAATAAACTTGGCCCAACGCAGTTTGAACTTAATGTTTGGTCTATGTGCATAATTTAAAGTACTAAGCTTTAGACAGCATATAATCTGAACCATGTCAACACTATTTACCACCTGACTGATGACATGCGGAGATTATACACTCTTAACTACCAGACCGCTAGCAGCAGTAGATACCAAGTAAACGTAGGTGTATAATTGCAATGCTCACAACACATTTTTGAAATACTTTTAATACCCAAAATAAGAAAAAATAATAATAACGCCGGCAACGTAAACGTGTCCAAAACTTAATATGACATTTCGGAGTAAGTGCATTAGTCGGTGGAACCAAGAATATGTTTAGGTAAGATTTTTTTTTCGTAATCTTAATGAGTGTGAAATCGTTGACATTTTTAGGAAGTGCACAAATCTTTCATAATCAAAATATGAACACTGCCAAAGTTGTTCCAACTATATAAATCTACAAAAGCGGCATTCAATTCTTATAACCACATGTGATTGCTATCACAATAGAAAACGAGTAAAATCAAACATTATGTTTCGTTTTAATATTTTTGCGCCTTTTCTAATGATGCCATGGAGATCTTATGCATCGATGAATATTACGTATTGTGGGGATATAAATTATCATATTAAAATCAAAATGTTGTTGTTTGCAAATTGACTATGCTTAAATATTAATGCCACATCTATGTTGTGTAATTATTCGAATTTCAGGAGCCAAGGCATATATGAAACCTTGAGCATGTTGAGCTGTTTAGCTGAAACTTTCAGAAAAAAGTATCATGGAGACATGTTCATCTTCCTTACTCACTGATAATCAATACTGAACTATTTCATTATAAGGAAGATTGTAATATCATATTTGATTACTTCAGTTTAATAATTGTCGACATTATTTCTACAAATGCAAAAAATACTTCATGATATTCGTTCTTAAGTCTACGTGTCGTGTATTGAATAAACTTATTTTTTACTGACGTTGTAAATTCATCTCATTCTTAAAATGAAGCTTTGCAGTAAGAACAAATATATTCAATACTAACTTATTATCTATTTATCAATATAACATATTAATTATCTTGTATTTATTTACAATAGATGGACCTTCCTTGAAGATTATTCAGCAAACAAATGAATCAAATATAGAAGGTGAATCTGTGAAATTATGTTGCCATTCAAACAGTAATCCTAATGTACATTACATTGGTTGGGCAATGAACAGCCATGAGTTAAATTCTTGGAGGCAACGCGGTAGAATGAAAGTTGATGGAACCAGGAAAGTGTTTTGCCTACGACTTTCCCCTTTGTATAGAAACCATACTGGTAACCACACATGTATTGCGGAGAACAGCATTGCTAAGTCAAATTCCTCAATAGCCATCAATGTTTTATGTGAGTAATTTATGTAGTTTTGTCATATTTTATCCTGATTTTTTATACAATAATACAGGTAATACAGCCGGAAGTAAGCATTAAATATTACCATTGGGGTGATAATCAAGTGCTTTTCATGTAAAAAATGGAAAACAACACGTTTATTAAATTATTGCGTCCGAAGCGCTTTTCTGGATTTACCTTCATCAGGAACGCTCAAAGCCAAACATTTGAAATCCGAAGATGGATAAGTACCGAAAAGTGTTGAAGAGCTATATGTCAAAAATACCTAAAATAAATAGCCAAATTCATCTAAAGCCAACTTTGCCTGAGGGAGTTAAAACCTTAGTTTTATAATAATTTCAAAATTACTGAGCTGGTGATACCCTCGGGGACTGATAGTCCACCAGCAGAGGTATCGACCCAGTGATATAAAAAATGGAAAACAACACGTTTATTAATTTATTGCGTCCGAAGCGCTTTTCTGGATTTACCTTCATCAGGAACGCTCAAAGCCAAACATTTGAAATCCGAAGATGGATAAGTACCGAAAATCGTTGAAGAGCTATGGTATGATAGCCCTTAACGTTTTTGACCGCGCTACGATCTTATGCGTTACCTTGTAAGAATATGACAAGGGAAATATTCTTAACAAACCGAAAAACCATAACACACTGTTACCACTTGAATACTACATATTTATAATACAAAATTCAAACAAACAACGGTATGACGGTAGTTTGAAGTAGTTTTCGGAAATTCCTTCCACGACGTAAAATATAAATGCCGCGTACGTCACAACGTTCATTCTAAAAACGTCGTTGTCAACAGGACACTAGCCTTGGAAGTATATATGATAAACTGGTTAATTATAATACATAACAATATTGAAACAAGCTAGATTGAAAGAAAAAAAATAAGTATATATTTTCATGATTATGTTTAAACTTTACGACGTTGTCAGTGAATTCAATACTACGAATAAAACAGACAGAAACATACTAAACAGAGGTTTGAACCACGATATTTCATGGTTAGCAGTAAACTTATTTGGTTTCGTCAAAGAAATAAACCGTTGTATACTTTTATTGTTTTTGTTTAGGTTTCATATTTTTATCCCTTTTTTACTAAGGTGTATGACAATTCTTTAATATAAAATTTTTATACTTGAAACAACCACAACTTTGAAATCTAAGGGACATCTTAGCAGCTTAATCACCATTAAATATTAAAACGTGTAAATCCGAAAGAGACAAGACCACCTTTTAATCAAAAGAAATACTGACAGCTAAACAACGTACAACATCCTATAAGACTGAGCTTAAGGTTTGATAAGGGCAACTTTATGAATGTCTTCAAAATTTTACAACACGTCTTATTTATTAATTAATGGTTGACATTTATTGTACATTTAACAGATCCACCAGATGTTAAAGTAAGCTATAAAATTTCCGACGAAAGAATAACGCTTCATTGTATTCCGGACGGAAAACCAGACAGTTACACATACTATGATTGGAAACACAAATCAGAATTCAATGAAGACATTCGTACTATCCATGGAACACCAGAAGGTCAACTTATTATAAAAAAATCTCACAGCAGGAAGGCAAATGAAGACGACGGTATTTACGTGTGTACCGTATTTAATGGTGTCCCCGATCTTCAAGGAAATTTTCATCAAGAAGGTCAAACTTTCATTGAATCCATTGGTAAGAACTATAAGCCAATAGAAATGTACATTTTGCTAAGCTAACATCGCTAAAAGGACAATTAAAATGTTTTTTTTATAAAGAGTTTCTCGTTTCTCATCGCGAATTGGTTGACCGATACGACGTCCTTGTGTCTTAACTCATTAGCGACATGTTTATGCAGTCTTAGATATTAGGATTCAAGAATAGTCGTCTTATCTGTAATTTAACGACTGTGTCATTTTCCCCGACTGTGAAGTATCACAAATGTGGATTCGCATGACTGGTGATGAATGCATAGCAGGAGACGAACCCGGTACTGCTCCTTTTGGAGTTAATGCGATTCTACAAGTTTTTGTTTTTTTTTGCCTCATTTTGTATTCTGATCTCCCGAATCGATTTCTGAAATCGATATCATGTCGGTAAACTACTGTAACCTATATTTATCATCCACCCACATCACCTCTATCCCTCCCGTTTTGTACCATGATCAAACTAAGTAAATTATAGTTACTTCAGAGGGGAAGTTAAAGGAATTTACATGGTGCGAAAAATCTGGAGGCCGACTCGCTAAGTTCAAGCCTTCTTACATGTAATTCGTATAATAATTTGAAGTTGAAATGAATGCAATAGATATAAGAAACCAGGATGAGCCTCGATTGGCAAGAACTTGATTATACACTTTAGAGCTTTGACCAATTGCGAAATATACGGAAGGGATATTCAAACTCATAAGTCGAAAACAAACTTACAAAGATATGTAAAAAAAAACGAAAAACAACGAAAAGACAAACAGTATACAAAACACAACACAGAAAACTAAAGACTGAGCTACACGAACCCAACAAAAAACCTCAAACGGCTACATAGATATAATCAGACAGATCAATATAGAACATTGAAATCAAAAAGGCTTAGCAATAACCATATCATGGACATTAGAACTTGCAAATGTAATCTGTGATAATGAGGTTGAAATTCTTGCAAAATCAGCAACAGAGGAAGTAAAAAAAATATCAGCAGAGTGTAATATCATTACCTTAAAAGATGTTAGAAATGCAGCTAATAAGAGAAAATGACAGAGCAGATACGTTATTAGTCTAACTATACGTGTGAATATGACACATTGAACTCGACTACTACAAGAAACGGGTAATCCATACCAACGCTGTCATGCAACAAAGGATCACTTGAAACACCTCTACATTTGATTTTGAACTATCTTTACTACGGAGATATGTACTATCAAATCAAAAATGGTCTGAATTCGAAACATCAATTTAGCAACACTACTTGCATGACAAGACGGTGAAGATATCGAGAAGACAAAACCAAAGCTACATATAGTTGCCAATTTCATTACAAAAATCTGAAAACAATTGATTTAACAGTTCTTCCATCCCAATATTTATAAGCGCATGCATGTTACAGTAAAGCACATATGAAAAATTACGACTAGCGTTAAGCCTGCACTGTTTGGACAAGTTGTGCATTCCAGCAGACCTTAGATTCAAGAAGTGATTTTCAGTGATGACTATATCTCTTTAATACAAGACAATACTGTTTAATGTGTTTGAATTAGATATATAATTCTTGTTTGACAGGTAGAGCATGTTCATGTACTTTGATAACACAGAAAGGAACACTAATATATGAGACGAAAGTTGCAAATGGGTTTGACTTGACAAATATTGTATAGTACATAAGAAATAAATACAGGGTTTTATTTTTGGTAAATGGAATGGACATTTGGGAATATGATTAGAAAATTGCAAACGCTTAAATGTGTTTTCAATATGACGATGTCACTGCAAAAGGAGTTCGATCTTTCCGTCCTGAACACAATAAAGACATTTTAGCTATGGAATAGATCTCATATGTCAACACACGGACATTATGAGGAAAGAAAATTCAAAACGGACAGTCCTTTATCAAATGACAAAATCAAAAGCTCAAAAACATCAAATGAATGGAAAACAACTGTCATATTCCTGACTTGGTACAGGCATTTCCTTATGTAAAAAATGGAGGATTAAACCTGGTTTTGTAATTTTGACACTTGCTCATTAGGATTTGGTGTTTGGTGTTTGTATAGCAGGAGGAGATGCAATTTTATCGAAGTAACTAGATTCACTTTGATAGGTTTTATTCTTGTTTTGTCAGTTATATTACTTGAATTATGAGGTATCAACCTTACATCGGTTTATGAATCTGACATATGACGAAAAATCTTTTTGACAAATAATCTTTAGTTTGTGTTTTGGTTACTGATAAGAAAGTTGTAAGCATAGATAGACACAAAGAGACAACTGAACTGAATGTATCAAATAATTTAATTCAAACTGAGATCATTGAGTTTCGTGTGAATAGTCAAGTTTCCATTGACAAAAATGTTTATCTATTCCAGCGCCACCAATCTTTGTTACAGACAATACACCAGTTCAAATTGGACAAAATGGAAAAATAGTCAAATTACCTATTAAAGTTTATGATAAGCTTTATAATAGCAAAGTTTTGATTAAAAAGAATGGTGCGACTCTTAGGCTTAAGCCAACGATAGAAAATATAACCACACATGATACATTTTATGGGGTAAAAATAAGAGTTTCTGGAATACAATTTACTTTTCACCTGCATTTGACATCAGCAAATGATTTTACGAACTACAGAGTTGAAGCATGCAATGATGTTGGGTGTAATTATTTTTATGTACAAGTAAACTCCGCAGGTAAGTTAATTAAAAATCATGCATTAAGATTTTAGAAAATTAGACATACATTTTTTTTAAATACGCTATAAACATATTTGATTACTGCCAGGGTGTAAATCTATCATGTCTATAAAGAAGTAATTTTTATAAGGAAAAGAATTTTAATTACAACTTGTCTATTTATCTTTGAAGTGTTGTTCAGGATGAATATCATCAGGAACGCTCGCTCTTTTCTATGGAAGCGCATATGGTACACCCCTTGTTAAGTTATTTTGTTGCAAATAAGTCGGAATTGTTAGTTAAGTTGTGTGTTATAAGCTGGAATCAAACATCATATTGAAGTCAACTTGTAGGAATGATGAAGAAAAAATTGCATTAAAATGTCGACTTGCTAATATAAATGTAATGACATAGTAATAAGAAGTCGACATGTTGAATTCAACTTGTTAATTGATTAAGTCGACAACTTGTTTATTTGATGATGAGGTAAAACCACGTGACCATTTTGGAAAAACATATGTCTATTTTTAAATCGATTTCCATATGTCGTTTGTTTAATGTGCTTCGGATGAGTGTCGCTATCGATTGAGTTCTAGTTAAAATTAAAGTTCGAGTTGATGTTCAGAGTTATTTGGTATGAAAAGGGGGAAGTAAAATATAAGAAAATAAGTACTAAAAAATAACAATATTTCGGACATAAGGGGATATCCCCACGCCACTTAGTCCGGCAGTTTATTTTCCTTAGTAAAAATAAAAAAGTTGACTCCACATGATGATTTGAATCCAGCTTATAACACACAAATTAACTAATAATTCCAACTTATTTGCAACAAAATAACTTTACAAGGGGTGTACCATATGCGCTTCCATACTTTTCTAATGGTTTGAAAGCCAAATAAAATGCATAAATTATTTAAAATGATTTGAATGATTTGAGATATCATACTAAGTAAAAGTTTAACAACATGGATTTATAAAATTCAAGAAATTAACCATGACTGCGTAAACAATTATTATTGGGTGCAAAACAAAATCATACTACATCTATTTATTATTATATAGCACATCATTGGCTGGAACAATTTTTGTTGTTGTCTGTGGTTGTTTGTCGTGTTATAACTTGTGTACAAAAAGCAATGAAGGCAATAATGTTCGCCTCATAAAATCGAAATTGCTTTAAATCTATTGTATTTAATACGTTAATAGTTCTGTAACGACCTTCTTTTTGCATTAAATTAGATCAACCTGAATCACCGAAAAATATTTCAGTAAAATCAACAAGATAGAAAGTAATTGTGTCATGGTGTCCTAGCTTTAATGGTGGGTTTGAACAAGAGTTTTTCTTAGAATATAGAGAGGACTTTAGGTTGAAATGCACACTAACTGGACCAGTTAAAGACACTAAAGAGGAGAAAATGAACTACGGTATCGATCATCTGTCTCCAAATACTGCATATTCCATCCGTATAATTATTTTCTCGAAATAAGATAGGAGATAGTGATAAAACAAATAACGTTGCTTTCAAGACATTAAGTCAGTATATTTCATTTTCTCCATAATGAGGTCAATTTAACGTTTTGGGGAACATATCCAGATAAATTGTGACATGCTTTGTGGGGCTGTTATCATTCAGATTATTTGTATTTGAATTGTAGGTTTCGCAATAAAAACTTCAACCTGGCGGGAAAAGGTCATGTAAACTTTGCCTTAAATGTTGCCTCCCGCTGCATACCACTTGCTACTTATAAAAGTTTATGACTATAAAAAAGATTTGAGAAAATGAAAATGCAGTTTTAAAAGAACCTACAACAAAACTGGGGTTTTGCTAATTTTACAAAGCTGCCAGTGAAAAAGTAAAGGATAGCAGCAAAAATATTTTGATTTATGAATTAGTTATATATTAATTTTACGAAATACTGGAAAACTAACAAATAACGAGCAATCCTTGTTTGGGTAAAAATGTAATTTGATTTATTTTATTGTTTATTGTACCTTTGTTTTTTGTTATCTATTAAACCGTCATTATAACGTTTAGAGCTTGTCCTATACGACTTTTGATTGATTGTTATTTTATGTATCTAATGTGTTAACAAAAAACCAAAAGGGAACAATCAGATGTTATTTTTTCTTATTTGACATATCAAGTTTATGTTGTTTTAATTTCCGATATAAGCTTTGGTTTTTTGTTTGACATGGTCACTAGAATTTGTACAAACATCGATTGATTGATTGATTGGTGCTTAACGCCATTTTCAGCACTATTTTACTTTTTCGTGGTCAGGTTTTATAGGCAGCGGAAGCCGGAGTGCCCGGAGAGAACCACCGACCTTCGGTAGGCATACAAAAATGGAGAAATCATCTAAAATGTGTAGCTTTGATGATAAGA